GTGTAAAATAACACAAAATACTCCCATCAACTGCGACCAGGTTGAAGTCAAACCCTGAAGATGGAAGTGATGTTTTCCTCCCAGACATTGGCAACCATCTACAAGATCACACAACTCCACAACCCACAATCAGATCACAACCACAATGTCAACCTCAAATACTCCTGTTCATGTCTGCAGTTCATTTCTAACTGCAAAATTTAAGATAAATTAACTTAGAATATATATATATTGGGGGGGTTAGATGGACAGGGAGTGATGACAAATGCACACAAAGTATTAAGACAGAAAACTTAGGAGACCATTTTTGGGACATCGATGCTGATGAGAAAGATATTAAAATTGATATAAAGCAACGAGATGTGGTTACGTGGACTAGATTCACATCATTCAGGATCTGGTAACGACCCCTTTGGTTTTATGAAAATTGGGGGTTTCAGTGCATGAGCGACTTTACCTCCTCAACAGTAATCTCCTCTGTGGTATTTGTTAGTTCATACAATTAAAGAAAACAAAATAATGTATACAATTTTTTTTAAATTTGAGTGAGTAAACAACACAAATGAACATAATATACTAGACAAAACTGGACCTTGCATCTACATTATTCAGTATTTGTAAACTAATAAACTGCTACATTATTCAGTATTTGTAAACTAATGAACTGTGTGTGTGTAGAGTAGTTTTAAACACTTGGCAAGTTATCTTTGTCATAACCTATGTGGGTCACATTTGAAGTGAATTCTAGGTCTGTCTGTCTGTCTTGAACAAGGTTCATGTCAATATGCACCAATTTTACAGAAAATTACACAATGTGGCATAAAATTTTTAACAGTCACCCATTCTGTCTCAGAAGTATTATTAATAACAAGACCAGAAAGGCATTCTCCGTACCTGAATACACTTCTTTTGTGCAAATTCTGAATCAGTAATAAAACAGTACGTCAGTTATTTTACTTGGATAACTTGAGTTTCCAACTATACAACCCACGTCATCTTAAAGCCTTCTTTAAGTACCACAAATCAACATCGATACATCACAGAGTGGGTTGGCTCTGTGGTAGTTTACTGCTCATGTACACAGGATTAAATCCTGGTAAATATTCTTTTACATGCAGGCACCATGTTATCATTTTACATTATAAAAGAATTATTACACAAATGTTTCAAATTAAAAAAAAATCTATCATCACACATCACTGCATGACCCTACCGTTAAGTGGTGCCACAGCTACACCTCGTAAGTCTCTTCGTCCACCACGGCATTACTGACAGTAGAAAATGTTAAAGTAGCAATGGAATAATGTCTATACCAAATTTCATCCAAATCTGTCCAGCAGTTCTGGAATTGAACTGTGCGGATAGGCAGAAAGGATCAGCCCTTTTTGTGTTGATTTCATGCACTCTGTGTAAAGAACACATAATAAAGGACAATTTAAAGTTGCATGAAAAAGACACTTAAAAGCATTCCCTTTATAATGCTGATGAATTTCTACCGTTTAATAATAATCTGTTGTTGAAATTTCATACACTGTTAATAAGGAGCATAACAATTTAAACAGAACTACCAGAAATTAACTTTTCTCGATACTGAATTTTACAAGAAGCCATTTTACTTGATATGACAACACGCTGATGGCTTTATTGATTACCACACAAACTAGACCTTTTCTGAATACAAATTTTAATCCTCAGGTGTCTGGTCTACCTTATATCAGTTTATTCATTGTGACTGGTCATTTTACGTTAAGATCCTTTTAAATGTCACAAATCAAGCAAAAGTTGTTTGTGCCCATTTTCAATAAGTTTCTTTGTGATGTGCATATTTTTGCTTGAACATTTACAAACAAATGTACAAGACACCTTGACAGATTGAAAGGTATATGAATAATTTTGAATCTTGATTAAACTCCCTTCCAGTTGATTAAATCCTCAGTGGAAGGGCAGTTTTATAAGTATCAATAATAAACCTTTATTGCACCATTGTACTCTAACATGTAATGTGAAACGTACGTTCTTTTAGCCTCAAGTTCTACATCTGGGCATGCCGACAGATCACAGATCTCACAACCCACAGACTGCAACTGCTAGTTTGTGGGCTGGTGACTCTATAAGCACGAACATAACTTCACTACAACTGAAACATAAGCACTATTCCAAACTGCTTACATATGGCACGGTAAGAAACAAGTTATTGCGTGAGGTGAAGCTTTCACGGTGACTGAAGTTGATGAAAGTTCTCGGGCTACAAGGCGCGTCAGGTGGCCGAACGGCAAACAGAGGATACGGTCCGTTCACCGTCCAGCCACCTGGCGCGGCTTGTAACCCGAGAGTCTTTCGTCAACAAGTTATTGAATAACAAAGTGGCAACTTCACTGGGAAGCAGGTCACGCAGACATCGAAACAGCGCTACCTACAGCTCTCACACACTTATAAATTCCACAGCCTACTCAAACAAAAAAAAGTTGTCAGTGGAACCACGGTTCCGGAGAATTTGACGTAAATACGTCTATACGGAAAGGAAGTTTATATATTGGCTTTATTCTAAATATTTCCTTTATACCCGCTTTACAATTGCGTAAAGTTTGATTAAGACATTGCTTATTCAACTTGAATTAGTTACGCTTAAGATGGGTCTGTGCTAGCTGAATGTAATGTAATGAAACGTAATGTAATGCAATGTAAGGTAAGGTAAGGTAATGTAATGTTTTATAGGTAACAACAATGCCGAGTAAACAGATGACGTTTCCTAGGTAACAAAATTGCCGAGTAAATAGATGTTCTTTAGGTAACCATTATTGTCGATTTGTTGATAAACAGATGAAGTTTCCTAGGTAACCATTGTTGTTTATTTGTTGATAAACAGATGACGTTTCCTAGGTAACAACAATGCCGCGTAAACACGACGTTCCCTAGGTAACCTTTGTTATGTTACCTAGTAAACAGATGACGTTTCCTAGGTAACATAACAATGAAGTTACACTTTTTCGTAACACTTTTTTGCCGAATGACCCTTCCTCATAGATGTATTTACGTCAAAATACTATGACTACATTTCATTAAATTGTTCATTATTGTGGTCTCACATCTAACACAAATTCAGAAAAAAGTATGCCTGTGTGGACAATAATAAATAGACAAACAAAGAGTGAAGCTCAAAGTAAAGAAAGCAGGAGCGCTGTTAGGCCGATTGGTTTGAGACGCACACACAGCTCAAAATGATGACGATTCAACCCTAAAGAGCCTTTTCATGCTGCTTACTGCAGCAGGTCTCTGAGAGCCGTGAGATAAACTGGTACCTGTGACCAGCACCACTTCAATAACGGTAAAATTTAGTATGACTTTTTGAAAAGGGAATGCAGTTTTAATGATATGTTCAGTATTTAATTTGAGCCAAGCGTACCTACAGAGAGAGAGTTTCAAATCTGGTGCGATAAAGATTAAAGCAAAATCAAACTCGTGTTATAAAGAAGCCAGAATCAACATTTTTACAAACCAACTGAAAACTAAAATTTCAATATAATTTTTTGAAAATAAATGTAAGAATGATATTGGTGGCATTTAAAAAACAGATAGTGATAATTTTTTTAGTTTGTTTCAATGTGCAAATTCAAACCTTGCAGTTCACATACATATCCTTAAATTTCTCGCTGCACAGAAACGAAGCACATGTGGATACACGGACTGTGAACATGGCAAATCACGTTTATAATTTAGAGTTCCCTTATCAATAAAGCATTATTTGTGAACTGGATCCTGACATCAACAGTTCAGGTTAACAAAACTGGTACTCATACACACCATAAATTCCTCAAGTTTATATGTCACCATGCTTCACATTCACATGTAAACAGTGTTACGTTAACAAAGAGTTCTGTTCGTGCTTCTATTATTGGCACACTCTGAAGCAGTGCAATGGACACTTATACTTAGTACATGCGTTCAGTCTAGCTGTGCCGGTGGGTGACATCACATATATGAGGATGCAGAAACAGTGGGGGGAAGATCTTAGCAGCTCATTTCAGTGCTGTACAAACCACATCAAAAACATCACTGAAAAATGGATACAAACAAATTAATGCAGCAACAAAATTACACTCCATGTTATGGAATGAGCATTTTTGCTTCGAGCAGCCTGTTTACGAACTAGCAAACTTCAAAACGCAATATAAGTGAACAGAAAATTGCAGTATCAATTCCAAATACTGTCTATGGTTTGTGCCCTGGTAACTAAGGTAAACCAGAGCCCCAATAAAATGTACAAAATAAAGAACAACTGATTCAGTACAAGAAAAAGGAAAGTTACAAACTACGCAAATGAAGGCATACTTGTATATGTGGAAATATACCATCAATGATGTAAAACCAATTCTGACGACAAGCTCTGTGTCAACATCACACGTTTCATATTGTATATTAAATACTGCATATAGAAATCAACTGAAAAGATCATGTCTCACTCCAAGTGATATTATCAATAAAATAAATACTGCATATGGATAATGACAGTATACAAAGTACCATTAAACTCAATATTAAAGCTGTAGTGTTTATTCTTATGCCGGAGTCCATCGGGACGATGTCTGAAAGCAAAACAGATGCTCATCAATTCCATAACGAATGAAGGGAGCAAACCTATTGATTTATGTACTCTTTCATGTGGCTTTACAGCATAGTTTTTAGGTCTTCCTCAGAGAAAAAGTTACAAAACTGCAGAGCAGATCACATAATAAAAATCATTTGTGTCTACTTACACCAGAACTCAATTGCAAACAACCTTAACTACCGGATTTGTGAACATCGCGTGTAAGACACCGTAACAAATAATAATAATAAAATAAAAAAAGCGTGGCCTGTGTCCACTTTTGTGAAATAACGCAGTGCTTTATAATAAATCACACCTGTAACTAAGGACATTTCACACTGCAGTGTTGGTACTTCTGGCATAATTTTTACTGCCTTAGAAACCCAGTTTGAGAATTTCAAAGCAATATTTTCAGAATGCTGGACTTCAAAATCGTCCAGACAATAATCTAGCCAATCTGCCATTGTGAACAAGCAGTAAGATTCAAATGTCTTGACTAAAGCACTGCCGAATTGTCAACCAATGGTGACAGTGGACTCACTCCATCATGTTTCTTGCAGTGCTGAACCTCGTACTGCAACTCCATCGACAGACCTGTGGGCAAGATTCACGCGCGTTACATTCTGCTACTACGTGAATTCACTTATTTTAAACAGCATGACAATATTCTGAAGCTCAATACATCAAAAATCATCAAAATCTGCAAATAACGCAAAGGCAGTTATAACCCGACTTCCTCATGCTTTAATCATCACAAGTTTCAACGCATGTAATGGTACTTAGAAGTACGCTGGTTCACAAGACTGTAACATTCAGTTGACATGATCCTCTGTGTGTGTGTAATGGACACAATTTCCACTCTGTATTCAAACGTTAGCACGTTCACGTTTTTGCTTCTTATTATACTTGTACTAAATACGCAACATACATTTATGTACATGTGACATAATCAGAAACTCATAAAAGCACACATAAGATAAAAATTATGATAGTTTTCATGGTAAATAAATGCACCAAAATCCTCTAGATCGAAAATGCTGTATAATATCTATCCTAAATGAATGATAGGCCCTCCTGTATAAATAGCAATGGACTGTCCCCTTGCACTCCACTTTTTATCCAGTATCTGAGAAATGCAGAATATCTGACCAGTAGCTGATCTATGACTGACTGATAATCCCCAATATTTTTATCTACACATGAAGTTAATTTAGAGAGAAGAACTTTGTATACAATTTTTAAAGTATGTAAGATTTGAGGTTTTCACAGTGGTGAGTATGAAGATTTCTGTCTTCTGGGTTGCGCTGAATATGAATATTCATCATCACCTGATAACGGAGGCAGTGTGACCTCAGAAACGTTGGTTAATATCGACCAGACTACGCAGCGCAACAACCCAGAAGACAGAAATCTTCAATTTTTAAAGTACTTGATAACAGTGATATTCCTCAAATAATTATACCATAAGTTGCATTACACACTGAGTATATATAAACTTCAACACACTCCTTCTAATGCTGTGGTAAATCTTCCTTCTTTCATACAGAATTAATTACGACCTTTCTGCGTGTCAAGACACTGGAATGAGTTAACTTCAGTATCTTTTGAACTTGGCTGGAAGTATTAACTCATATATGTAAAATATTTAGTAGGAAAATTGACTGGTAACTGCTGACACTAGTCACGAATTATTGACTGGGAAAACGGCAAAGTATGTACTGCAAGACAGCTGTCTCCAAAAAGAAAAAAAGAAAGAGGGGGGGGGGGCAGAACAAGGAACAGCTAAGCACAAGCACAGCCATGTCATTACAACTGCATTCGCTAGCGTAATTCGAGTACATGCAACAGCAGCACAGCACCTTGTAATCTCAGCTTCGGGCGGTGGAACCACATGGAGTCATCCACGGAGCCATCCTCAGCGTTGTCTCGTTTCCTAGCTGCACAGCTGCTGACATCTACAGGACACATGACAAGCTTCAGCAAGCAGGTAAACTTGCATCAAACATGCAGTAAAAGCAACTGTGTTGATCCTGTACATCCGTTGCATGCAGAAATTACAAAACCTCATACATTAGCTGCTTAGAATAATGTTACAATTACTTAACAAGAGCTCTAAGACACGGCATACTTACAACAGTAACTCGCTCAATTTTTAACGTTCCTCTAATCTCTCGTATTAACGAGGATCACTGTAAAGTATAACAGCATAACACATGGTCTGCTGAAGTAACTATTCTCGTACCATACCTACTTCATCATCACAGCAAGTGGTTTACGGTCTTTTAGCCGTTTCTCGCATCCTAGTGACCTAGAATTGTTCTGCCCCTTTTCTCAGAGTATCAGGTGACAAGCCTGCTGCCTCCACACAATTTCTACTCAATCCTGATTTGTCTGCTAGAGCCATCTAGTAGCAATTGGAAGAAACATGGCCATAAATCTACTACATGGGACTGCAGGCTTTACTTCCCCTCCTTCACCAAAACGTGTAATTTTCTGATTCACTCTTCTTCAAGGGGCTAAAACTGTTTTTAAGTGAAATGTCTGAGCACACCTCTAATGAACTGGTAATGAATATTTTTTAGTTGTTACTTATGTCACTTACACACTAAACGATACTGCATGCAGATGGCTGTCTTCTGGGTTGTAGCGATGTGTAGTCTGGTAGTTTATGCTTCAAATACAAGGGCCAACGGTACCAAACACCAATATCCAGCAACAAACACTTACTTTCTGACTGTGAAGCGGTTGCAATGCAATTCATAAGGACCAGATTCACTCCAATACCGTTTTATTTATACAACCAGACAATTCAAAACGAGCTGCATCTTACCTTATAAAGTAACGAACAACATCAGAATGATCATTCGCTAAGATAACAAACTGCTCACAAAATGATCTCCTTAAATCAAAATCATGGCCTGACAGTACATGCACAATCACATTTTGCAGGGAAGATACTGTCAGTCAGAATGCAGTATTCATCAAAGCAATCTGCTTAATAAGTTGAGGGCAACAGAATGTCTGCATGCCAGTCATCCGAGAATGTTACCAACAGTGGCCTGTATTTAGTACTTTCTGGTGTCTACACAGTTCTGACACTGTTTCCAGGTATTACGTTAGTTGCGGAAGCTGTGGTTCAAAACGTCTCCACCCAGTTCTCAAATCACTTTACTCTCAATAATTTGAATAACTGCAGTTGACTAGTGTATCTTTACAAACGATGAACGTACAGTGCGTCATCCTGTACAACACAGATCACTGAGCTTGCATGATCTCCACGCACGATGTATTAACTACTTTCATAAAACAGATTTCAGCTAAAAATTCAATTGTGTAAAAAAATGTGACATATTGGTTTTGCAATCATCAACTTAAGTGTAAAGAGTTCCTCATAAATATGTTCTATAAGCCATTAGATAATGAAACACAGCTACCAATTCAATCGCTGCCAGTTCCTCTGATAGGTGGTATGTTATCACGGCTGTGTGAGGAGTGGCACCTCAGAAAACTCAATTCCAAGGTTTTTAAATGTTTCTCCGAAACGTTAGCGTCTAGCTACGAGTCTACACGGCGCCAAAAGACAAAACTGAGATGACGTAGACGGCAAGGATAATATTAAAACGCAAATTAAACAGGATGTTCGCTTGGGATGAGGTCTACTTGCGGACTCACATAAATACAACGTCTTATTTTTTATTTATTTAGTGTTCTGTCTGAGGACAGGTCCATATGAGCAGGATCCTTCCATCCTTTTCTCGGACTGGGGCCTGTTCATATACGTTCTTGGCAGATGATCCATAAGTGGTTTGCCATTGCCTTCTTCTGTGTGTGAATGGAGTAATTGTTGGGATGCCACGGAGGAAAACTCCGTGTTGCCTAGACCACGGCCTTGCCCAACACAAGTTATAAATTCGGGCACCGCCCGGAATCGAACCCGAGACCCCAGGATTACAAGACCAGCGTTCTAACCGCTAGACCACCGTGGCGTGCTTTTAAAAGCAGTCACATAAAGTAAACAAGGTATTAAAAAAGTAGAACTACTAATTTACTCTCCACATATCCTTAGTAAACTCATAATATCAACTAAAATTTTAATTTTCGTAACAAACACAAAGTCCACTGTTCTATATGGAATGAAAGTAAACTTTGGGGGAAAAAGAAAAATTTTCCTGTATGGAAACAGATACTTCAGAACGTGGGTGGCAATGAAACCAGAGAACACTAGCTGGCGGGCCTGAAGATGAAACAACTACACAAATTCTCCAGAATGCGTTGCACTGCAGTGGTGCGTCTAAACATAACATTTACATTCATGCCCGTTTTGTTATTTATATCAGTCGTTTCTTATGGAATTTTCAAGTAGGTTCAGTGCCGTGATCTGGCAGTCGTCTTTCCTCGTACAATGTCAGATGACTGAACGTTAATTGGCAAAGTGAGACCAGCGTGTAACATACTCTTGTACGAATCTCTCCCCACGCCATACCTAGAGGTATATTACTCAGCAATTGCCAGTGCATACCAACCTGAGCTCTGTTTCAGTTGCTATTGTGTGCGTTACATAAGTCATTGGTTACAAAGCGCAGAAACACAGGAGTAAGCTGACGGATTAACAAGGTTAATACAGAGAGCAGGTACTTTGTATTACCAAGATAACAAAAATGATTAACAGCTTGTAGGCTGGTTTTTAGCATGGAATAATTTTTAAACAGCACTTCAGAGAACATGCGCACTCACGCACGCGCACCCAACACATAATAGATAGACTCCCCTACTTACTAAACTAAATCAGAAGTATCACAAAAAAGAAATAGTTCTAGCAATCAGTTGCTCTCCTTTCCGCTACCCTCCAGCCTACCTTCGCCACTTACCAGACTGCCGGCGAGAGCTTGTCCTGAGGTTAGAGCCAATGGATGTGCCATCTGGAATGAAGACAGCGACCAATAGGGCACATATAACAAGAAATGCCCCAAACACAAATGGTGGACCAGGCACCAGCTGCAACACATATACATACATATCGCACTATGTAAATGGAAAGTTTCAATATTTTTTTGTACTAACACAGAACTGTCATATCTCTATTAAAAATGTGCCTTCAACATCCAACCTAAATACACACAAAAGCAGAACGTGGTATAGTAAGAATGTTTTCTCTGATACAACTTTCATCCTACATTTCATTTTGGTCATAATTCCTCACACTGTTTGTTCTAATACATTAAGGTCGATACAATTTCAGTATGAAATTTTTCTACACATTTCACTGCAAAAATAAACCCTTCTCATATGCAAAAACTATGATCCAACATATGTACATTCCCTCAATTTCCTGCAAAATTACATGAAATCTGAATTTACGTTAACTGAACCTGTACTAGATTTCTACCATTACCCCTGTTTGCATTCAATAATCTTTTTACAAGCACATCTATTTACTATATCATGTGTCGTTAATTTTGTGTGGGTCAACAAGGTTCCTCTTCCCATATGCACATTAAAACATATCTCGCACAAATAATAATTTAAACAGACCTGTACCAAAATAGGTTGGTAAACACTGTTACTTTGCCCACAACATATTCCACACCTTAATCTACGACTTCGAATCAGGTTTGTTGTACAGTGAAACCTCAATCCATCGTTCCCGGAACTATCGTTTTCCCGGATGCATCGTCCGTTTTGTTCGGTCCCGAATACATCCCATATAAAATAATGTTACATTTTCCCGCTTCTATCGTTCCTCGAACTATCGTTTTATCGCATCGATCGTTCAAAAATCTTAGTCCCGGCCCACAATTTTCCCGCAATGATCGTTTCTGAGAAATTATAACGAAATTTACGTAATATTTTTAGAATTTAAAATGCTGGGTTTTGAG